CCCATATAAAGCCACAGGCAAAATTATAGTTTTGTGTATCCTAATTTTTATGTTCTTGAACAGAAGAGGAGAAAACAAAAGGTTCTGGACTGAATAGTAGCAAGCATTACACGAGTTCAATCTCCTCTTAATTTCTTCCTCAGCCAGGTTTTGATTTATTATCGTTGTTCCCAAATATCTGAACCCTGCCACATTTTCAAAACATCTGTTTCCTATCTTTATGTCATGATTATGCCCTGCATTTTGGTGACGAGACAGCAACATATACTTAGTTTTCTCTGTGTTTGCTTCTAGACCAACCTCCTTACTTGCGTCAATTAAAGTTTGTGTGTTCTTCTATCCGGTATCTACATTATCACCCAGTAGATTCACATCATTGGCGAGAACAACCAGCTGATGTATCCTGTTTAGTTTCGGTCCCACCTGGTTTCCTCGACCTTCGTAATTGCATATTCTAAGGCAAAGTTGAAAAGGAGTGGCGATAAAGCCTCTCCTTGTTTTAGACCATTCTGGATGGGAAATTTATCAGACAAATGTTTACCTATACGGACTTTACTATACGTTTCATTTAAACACATTTTAATGAGCCTAGTCAGTTTCGTGAGTACAGAATATTGTACAATATTTCCCTCCTAAATGAATCATAGGCTTTCCTGAAGTCTACAAATAGCTGTACTTCGACTGATCAAGAATTTCTTCCTCATTACAACAGAGTTAATGAGTTTGTAGAACTCAGACTGTAATATTTCGTCTTTTGCTTGAATAAGTTCTGCCGGAATTTGAACATTACCTGGCGATTTGTACTTTTCAATTTTGCAGTAGTGACTTCAACGTCAAAATGGCTAGGAACAGGTACTAACGGATTAGCTGTATGAATTTCTATCTACCTAACATCACTGGCCCTATGTGCATTCAATAAATGAGAGGCGTACGTTAGTTCTTCCACTTATTCAAAATGAATCTGCAAGCAGATCACAATTCTCATCCTTCACTAAGTTACTGCTAGGTCGGTAGCCCCTCTTAAAGTCATTTATTCCTCTATACAGGTCTCTAATGTTCTTTTTCTTACTGTTCTCTGCAAGCTCATTAATTTTGTCTTTCAGATATTCCTCTTTTTATACCTGAAAAGTCTTCTGGTTTCACGATTTTATATTTTTCAGATTATCCCCATTTATTTCGCTTGAATCCTGTAACCACTGCAATTTGGCCTGCTTTCTTTGATCTAATAATTCTAACCATCATTCGTCAAACCATGACTTATGCTTCTTCAGTTCATAATAACCTAGACTCTCTGTGCCTGAAATGTTGATATTTGATGGCTATAAACATACACAGAGAAAATAGTAAGAACCCGTGAATGATGATAACAAATGTGAGGAAAACCAGAGCGTACAATGTTAACAAATTTACGACCAAATCTGTGATGGTGAACTCTCACAATGTGAAGCACAGGAACTGTCTTTATTATTTTCTGTATCTCTAAATACTAAATCAGCACGCACATTTCCGCTCTAGTAATTAAAAGCGGAAAAAAACTGTAAATTTAGATTCTGAAAGGTACTGAAATGGTGCATAACAATCAGAATTACTGAGTTCTTGGATTCTGTCAATCCGACATTCTAAAGAACAAAGCTCTAAATTCATTTGTGTAGTTGGCAACTGACATGAAAGGAGCATTAAAATTACAATGTATTCCAATAATTCTTTTTTTCATATCAGTGAAGCATTAAAGGGTATGTAATTTCTAATTATTCGGCTCAATATTACACGCTCTCTCTCTCTCTCTCTCTCTATGGCTCTACAGCCCTTTGAAACTTGGCCGCATTTTTAAGTTTATTAATCAGCTGTTGGTCTATGCCGATGATGTGAATCTACTGGGTAACAATGTAGATACCATAAAGAAAAACACACAAACTTTAATTGACGTAATTAAGGAGGTTGGTCTAGAAGTAAACACAGAGAAAACTAAGTATATGTTACTGTCTCGTCACCAAAATGCACGGCAAAATCATGACATCAAGATAGGAAATAGATGTTTTGAAAATGTGGCACAGTTCAGTTATTTGGGAACAACGATAACAGATCGAAACCTGATTCAGGAGGAAATTAAGAGGCGATTGAACTCGGGTAATGCTTGCTACTGGTCAGCCCGGAACGTTTGGTCTTTTCGTCTGCTGTCCAAAACATAAAAATTAGAATATACAAAACTATAATTTTACGTGTGGTTCTGTATGGGTATGAAACTTGGTCTCTGACATTAAGGGAGGAAAATAGGCTAAGGGTGTTTGAGAACAGGATGTTGAGTAGAATATTTGGACCGAAGAGGGATGAAGTGACAGGAGGTTGGAGAAAACTGCATAATGAGGAGCTTCATAACTTGTACTCTTCTCCAAGTATAATTAGAATGATCAAGTCGAGGAGGATGAGGTGGGCAGGGCATGTAGCACGAATGGGGGCGAAGAGGAATGCATATAAGATATTGATGGGAAAGGCAGAAGGAAGGAGACCACTGGGAAGACCAAGGCGTAGGTGGTTGGACAATATTAAAATGGATCTTAGAGAGATAGGACGCTATGGTATGGAATGGATTGCTCTGACTCAGGATAGGGGCCAGTGGAGGGCTCTTGTGAAGACGGTAATGAACCTTCAGGTTCCATAAAATGCTGGGAAATTCTTGAGTAGCTGTAGACTTAGCTTCTGCTCCATGAACGGCGCGGCTCCATGAGTAAGTTAATCCTATATACAGCCGATAGTGGTCGGTAGGACTCCTTACACTGGGGATAAGCCTGTCGCAAGGACTCTACTTACACATAGATCTCAAACACAGAATAAACGCACACAGATGGCCTCAATATAACTTAGTGTCTCAAAATTTCGACTTGCACATTCAAGCAAACTGTATGTACCATGAGGTAACAGGATCGCTAGAAATGAGAAATGACGTCATTACCTACCATACATAAACATGGCCAGTAGACATGTATTGCTTAAGAATAACAACTACTTGAGTTGCCTGCATCTACGTGAAAGCAAACCCAAATGGGCTCAGGGCCAGCGACGTATTGAAATTATCCTCGTTCCGTGAAGTTACTTCGTACCTAAATACACTCCGTTCCACTTGCTGACCAAGCTGATTCCTACAGTCACTTCCTGCATGATTACAATGTTCTTCTCCAGTTACTCTCATTTATACGTAAACGAGAGTGTGACAAGTACTGTTGCACTTCTTCATAGCAGACACTAGTATTATTGTCGGTATTATATTTCTCACATGTTAATCTTTTAATTAAAATATTTACCTTTCCAGGGATCCTCTCCTACAACTGCAAATTAGTAAACACTATTACATGTAAGGACGAGAATCGAGCTGAGGAGAAATAACCTACTTATATTTACTGAAGGCCATGTCATAGTTCAGGCGGTTAGTCGCCGGGTTCCCACAGCGGTGACCCGGGCTCTAGCCCAGGTAACATCATGTGGGATTTGTGGTTGGCAAAGTGGCACTGGTCGGTCACGGTAGCCGAGCGGTCTTCACACGCTTGGAAACCGGGATCGTGGGTTCGAATCCCACTCAGGATATGGATGTTTAGTTTGTGTGTGTGCGTTTTTCTGTGTTTGTCTACAGGTAGTGGCCTTGCGACGAGCTGATCACCCGCCCAAGGAGTCCTACCGAATGTGTAAGATCTAGAAAACCCGAAGTGAACGGAGAAGTTCATGGAGGTAGGCCTAGGCCCACTGGGGCTGTAGTGCCAAGGAGGGAGAAAAAAGTCGCACTGGGATAGATTTCTCCCGAGCACTTCGGTTTCCCCTGCCAATTCTCATTCCACTGATTGCTCCAGACTCATCATCTATCGTCCGGGGCTGGTAAAATATGCCGGTTAGTGGCCGACTTACCCAGTGGACTCAGTTTCACCCCATCCCAAGAAACTAAAAAAAGGAACTATGTTTATTAATGAAAAATAAACCACACGTTTTCTTAAAACAAAATCGGCCGTGGGAAGATGAAACGAAACTTTCCGCCTCAGTGGCTACTGTACATCCCCTTTATCCAGTTGTATCCACGAACTACAGTTTCTACTAACTTTGTCCAACAGGTAAAGTACAATGAAATCATTTGTTTACAAACACCGTAACGTGATCTGACGCATCGATCAAAGAATAATACTATGTAAGATTTGAGGTTTCCACGGCGGTGACTATGAAGAAAGCAGTCTTGTGAGATGTGGCGCCGTGTAGGTATTGTGTTATCCGACGTTTCGGAGGAAAGTATCGCCTCCATCTTCAGAGCACCTGCTCACGCTGGTTCGCTCGCTGATTCCTTCTTCTTCTACCCTGACGATGGAGGGAATACTTCCCTCCGAAACGTCGGTTAACACAATATCTACACAGCGCCACATACCAGAAGACTGCTTTCTTCAAAGAATAATACTATTTAACGCGTGACAACACATTCCGAAATTACTACGCTGGTCTACAAAATGAATTAAATATTTAGAGCGCTTATTGTAAATTCAGTTACGAGAAAATTTGCTGAATGAAAATATGATAATGGTGAATTCTCGTATTTTACAAAAGAAAGAACGGAATAAATATTTTACCTCTATTCTTATTGTACGTAATTATTTTCGTGACACTATAGCCCTGCAACGACATTGAGATGTATTTATTTCAGAAAAACAAAAAAAAATATATCTCCTTTGAAGCAAGAACGTGTGAGTGTAGGCCTGTACGTATGTACTTAGTACGAGTAGTTAATTATATGCATGCTTTCAGGACTCCATATGCGTGCCAATTTTTGTTACAGTATTCAAAGCAACACTTTTTTGTCCAATTTTTACGTAAATAATCGACTAAAATTATGTGCTCAAACACATATTGTTAAAGAAATGTCCTTATAAATCACGTAAACAACTGTATATCATAGTACTGCTACACATCTTTCTACGTCAGCAGCGTGCATTAATCTAGTTCAGTTACAATTAAAACAGAATGTTAAATACCTGTCGTTGGAAAACATCTGACGGCAGACAAGCGGGATCTCGTCGTCTGCGAGATATTCGGGACCAACGCCCCGAGAAGGCGAGCGCCCGGCGTAAGAGCGAAGAATATAGGCAGTATTAAAGCAGGATCAATGGTTAGTACCCACGCTCCACCCACTCACACCCCTCTTCTCTGGGCAGCCAGTGGACTATCCCTGCACGAGAATCAATGAACCCGCCCATTCTGAAATACGTTCACAACATCTGTGTATCGATTATCTTTGACCCACAAATTCCTAAATCTTTGAAAGTAACTGAAATAGTCTCTTTTGCTGTATTCCGTTACATATTCTAAAAATGGTCTCCGTAAAAGTTACACACGCAATAATTTCAAAATATCTTTTCAAGGATGGAAGAATACTACTCTGAAAGTTGTTCATTTTGCTATTCATCCATTCATTTACTCGTATACTAGAATTCAAGAGAACAAAATTAAGCTAATAAGCAGCTTCAATTAGAGAAATGCTTTCCTCTTTCAAAAGAGCCTGGACAGTCCGTGTAAGTGACCTTGAAGAAGAGGAGTATTTCAGAGATTTTCAATTGGTGGGAAAGCGAAATAACGTAGAGCTCAGCATTCAACAAAGTAGGGATAGCTCAGTCGGTGTAGCATTGTGCTACGGGCTGGAAGGCCGGGGTTCGATTCCCTACAGGGGCTAGATTTTTCTCTACTGCACAGTATCCAGACCGTTCTAGGGGCCACCCGGCCCCTTATCCAACGGAAAATTAGTGCTCTTCCCAGGGATAGAGAGGCGGGAGCGTGTAGCTGATCACTCACATCCATCTACCGCCGAGCTATACCTCCACTCCCCCACATGTCTTCATTGCATAGCACTTGATTAATTAAGCAGAGAGATAATTTCACCTTCACCATTTCGAGCACTGAACGGATAGTGAAAATCTTGCCGGGAGACCGCCCCACCGTCACCCTTCACTTCTGATATCCATGGTGGATAAAGCTGTCCCTGTGCTTAACTAATTAAGCACAAAACCATGAATGCGTATAGACTTAGTCCGAAGCCATCTGCTCACGCTGGTTCCACGCTCGCGTGTTTTTTCTCTTTTTTCTTCTACCCTGAAGATGAAGTAGGTACGTTCCTCCGAAACGTCGGTTTATACTATGTCTACACGGCGCAATATCCCACAAGACGGCATTCTTCATAGTCACCGCCGTGAAAACCTCAAATCTTACATATCAAACTTTTAGTTCTCAGTCAGTGCAGCACAGAGCAGTCGATCAGCATGTAAGTGAGTAAGCGCATTATTACGGCCGGTGATGTTGCTGCGAAGTAACAAGTTAACAGAGAACTGATCCCAAAATCATAAGTGGTTACGGACTGTGGGAGTGGAATTTTTCAAATATCTAAAATCGTTACTGGTGACGCGTGACAACCTAAAGAGGTGGGACCAGAACATAATACGAAATATTTACCTTCCCTCTATTCCTATATTTAGGAAAGTGTTATTTGAATTTCACATTCATGAGTTTACACTTATTTTTACATGGTGCCTTTCTTTCAGCAAATTCGGTCTTATTTTTGTGGACAAGAACGTCATAAACAAAGAGTCTGCACCTACTCCCCCTGTAAAGTTACTTCTGAAAAGTGCAGCTTAATATCATACTCCACTTAGTAGAAATACAAGTCCCACTTCCCCCCGATTGAGGGAGGATTCGAACCCAGCTAAGCTCAACTGCTTCCCCCTCCGCCCCAGTGTGGGTAGCACATAGCACAGACCGGCTGACACTTCTATAAGTAGTTCAGTAAAAATGTGTACGAGCTTAAAAATGCACTGTTCCCACAACTTACTGAGTCGGACCGGCTGTATCCCTCGCGTCTGTTTTAGATTCTTTTTTATAATTACAGCACAAAAATTTTTGTGAGACTGGGTTACTTCAGATTTTTTAATTTAATTCGACATCTCATCGACTTCTATTCATCTACGTTTAGTACCAGAACAAAAACTATATTATTTTATCCTGCTGTAGTGTAGTAATTGAAACGACTTATATGTCCGCCAGAGATCTGTGTTTATATTGTGTTCCCATTGTCGAGCTTAGACCTTCATGGTTGTCCATTGTTGATGCCGATTCAGGACCACGAACACGGAGGCAACAAATATCTTCAAGCCGTCTGCGATTCTGCTATCATTCACGTGGATCAAAGAGTCAAGAGTAGAATCCACATCAACACGGGGTTGCTATTAAACTTGAAATTAAATTCATATTAGAGCCTAGTCACTCGAAGTAGACACACACGTGCACGCAAGCACACAAACTGTTCGTGCAAATGCATGTAATCATTAATAAATATAAAGACAAAGGAAACCTAAAGTTAAACACGTATTTTTCGCTCTGTTTTCTACCGTCTGTAAGAGGAAGGTGAAAAATGGATGGGGGAGATGTGAATGCACACAGAATTTTACAAAGATCCGAAGGCCCAGGAGCATCAGTCCAAATGAAACCAAACAGACTTGCGAGGGGAAGCGTCACAAATTAGTATAAAAAGCAACCATAACAATTTTTTAATTTCTCACTTATTTACCGTTCAGCCTTCCAATTTAATCAGCACTTCTTGTAAAAACGTTGTTAAAGTACTTAGATATACAAATAATTGGGTTTTCGCTGGAAAAATCAACGTCGAAGAAAGTGTAAACATTCGAGTAAGAAACTTAATATTTTTCAGGGCGCAATCTGAATATGTAACAGCTGTTCATAAATTACAGCGTCAAACGGATGTTTTCCGGTGTTCCCTGACTGATCCGGCAGGGCGTTTGCTCCTTGATTCGACCAGTTTTATTAAATTAACGATGCAGAGTCCTTCGAAAGTCGCTCAGATAGTCAAAAATTTCTCCACATTTGTTGGAACGCAAACTTTCATTATCGATTACATAAGAACTTGCTACTGGACCTCAATCTGAACATATTCAATCCAAATGCTTTCTCTCACGCCAAATTTCTTAAATACTTATTTTATTATCGTTCCATTCATGTCTATGTGTCAGACAAAATTGCCGTTTTATATAGCCCCTAATTTAAATAAAGCATAAATCTACGTACAACTATTATATCCATCGAAAGCGGTTTATTGTGAATTTACACGCAATTAAATAACGTGTAAATCTCGTTAAGACGTTCAACTTTCACTTCATACATTTCAGACACTACATACGCCACGTTATCAGACTACGTGAAATAATTATTTATGGCACTTTATAATGTTTCTGCAGTGTGTTAAGCTAAGCAGGAAAAGTACCTCTATCTACAGTAATAAACATCAAGGTCAATGAAATATGTAATGTCGCAAAGAACGCATATGGAACTTAACTTTCCATTTTGATATTTCTTTTGGAGGTTTAAATCAGCAGCGATGCCCGAATTTTATTTAGGTGTTGTTGAATACTCTGTATTCGAACCTTCCAGTGCATTCCAAAATATCAGACGGAAAAACAGAGTAATACAAGAACAATTTAATTAACTAACCAACTATCTACGTATAATTCCATGGCTCAAGATAGGCCGCGCCATAGATCAAGCGGTTAGTCGCTGCCTTCCCACGGCGGCGGCCCGCGTTCGATCCCGGGTCTGGTCAAGTGGGATTTGTGGTGGACTAAGTGGAGCTGGGGCATATTTTCTCCGAGTACGTCGGTTTCCCCTGTCCATCTTAATTCCACCAAATTCTCCATCATCATAATCACCCGGGGCAGGCTACAATAAGCCGCCGTGCCGAGTGGACCCAGTTGGACTCCACCCCCAACTAAACGAATTAAATTTATAATGGTTCAAGATGGGTGCTTTTTGAAAAGCCTGTATTTGCTCGGATGACCAAGAAATGCCCCCCCCCCTCCCGACTTAATGGAATCCAAAGCTTCTTTATCGTGTTCGCACGAGCGCGGATTGGACTCTTCCCTGACACATATTCCAAACTCTTTAATCATATTTGTTAAAATACACATTAATATTTTCCCAAAACCTCCAAAAATCTTCCCTTATTACCTCCCGTAAAAATTGTTTAAGCAACTCTGATCTCATGTGTGCTACATGTCCCGTTAATTTTACCCTCTTTTTATTTTATCGCCTTATTAATATTTGGTGCAGATTGCAAATAACCGAACAACCTGATTTTCAAAAGTTAGTTATTTCGCACCGCTGTAGTGGGGCCACATTAGGTCAGGCATTCACTGTATTTCTATAGAAACATTCCAGAACAGCAACATGTGGGAACAATCATATTGTTCGTGCCTTTCCTCAGTCTCTCCAGGCAAATGCTGGGATAATACTTCGATTAGGCCACGACAGGTTCCTACCAAATATTTTTCAATTCATCTTTCGTCTTATCGTCCGACGTTATATAGTCTTGATACTGACAGCGTCGTTAAATTACCACCTGAAAGAATGAAACATTTTGTGTGAGTCATAATATAATCCGTCATGCACTTGGTTGGCTATTCATGCTGAGTTCTCATACTGGTTTCTTGCTTGGCATACACTTCGACCCTGAAGCTGGAGTTCATATGTTCTCCCGAAGCGTGGGGCAACTTAAACCGGACTACCCGACGTTATGCCCAATAACAAACTTTAGTACGTCGATACTCTCAAAGCTGCTTTCGAGAATCGATACAACCGAATCATCGAGAGTTTTATTTATATATTTGGTTTTTTTATTATTGTAAGAAAAAACTGCGAATACAAAAATGGCCTAGGCAATGCCCATCCAGCCTTCTTTAACACGTGTACCATCGAGAGAGAGAGTTTAGCACCTTAGTTCCATCTGTCGGCTATTTCTGTAACAATCCGCCATATACTAGTACGTGTTCTAGCTGCGTTCGAGAACGGATACAATCTGACACCTCACTGCCATCTCTCGGTATACCATGTAATGAATCACAAATTGTACAGATTCTACCAATAGATGGAGACGTATGACAAATAATGTTTTCTTTAATTTCATATCCATTTAGTTGGAAAGTGTTTAATAAAAGTGATTCATTGTCTTTGATTGTTAATAGTAATTATTAATCTGAAAATATTTAGTTCCAAATCGGCGCGTAAATCTATAGATTAGTTCATACATTGATCTATAATTTCTTAATCTTCCACGGTCGTTTGTGTACGCCGATAGATACCGACTGCGCAGCAGGAACAAGGCAAATTCGTGCCTTAAACTAATGAGTAAGGAAAATATAGAGCCTTGGTGACGCTTGGCTCCCGCTAGGCGTTCTCTAGCACTATGTATTTTTGAAAGGGTACAGGTCGTCCTCTGAGTGATTTGTCTACTTTTACAGATCATTCGAGTGACAGCGATCTACCCTACGATAATGAAACAAAAAAGAAGCAGTTGTTTACGATAGGCTTACAGTGAGATCAGAAATATGCTTCACTTGTAACAAAATGATTCCATGTCATATCAAGATAGAATAGTTAATTGGTAAGAATTATCTCCAGGAATGTAGCACTTCGTAGTCTTGTAGAAATTTCTAGAAGTACACTTTTATCAGGGGGTACTATGCTACAAGCCGGAAGGTCGCGGGATGAGGTCATCGGATTTTTCCAATTTACCTAATCCTTCCAGCCGCCCTATGACTCTGGGGTCGACTCAGCCCCTGACAGAAATGAGTACTAAGAATATTCTTGGGGGTGAATGGCGGCCGGCGTGTAAGGCCGACCTTACCGACATCTATAAGCCAATTGTCTAGAAAATGTGGGAACCTCAACATCTCACAACCCTATGGGCCTCCACGGCCTGTTACAGGGATACCTTTACTTTACTAACACTTCTATCAGACTACACGGCCGCGTATAAACAAGATAGTATACTGTTCATCGTAACCACTGTGAGAATCTCGAAACGACAGTAATGCCACAGGCGAAGTAGTCCCTATGTGTAATTAATTAAGCACCATGCCATGAGAACGTATGGGGGAATAGAGGAATAGCTCCACCGTTCTTGACTTCGGCATTATGAGTGGTCAACTTCAGGCCCCAGATACTGTACACTTGTGGAAAGAGACCCCGGTACCCTCTGGACAGGAGGCTGGGTGGACCCGTGAGCCAGTCTGGAGCAGGGAATCATTTCTTTGCTCCTGCCGTCCAGCCAGTCGCTGTACCGACTGAGCTACGAACGTATCGCCTCCTTCTGACGATTTGTGTCGTATTAATTTACGTGGAAAAGGAAGTGAAAAGAATTTGTAGCACTACCTGCTTCAAGGGAGAATGTCCAGTGGCGGGGAGGGCTAACTTGTTCCCCTTTTTAACTAACCGATTCAACTGAAAACATATGAATAATGCACCTCCAATTAATATAATTTAATGTGCTTCCTTGCTGTTATATAATGGGCAGACTAATTATTAAACTCCATTTCTAACTAAGTGTTTTCAACTTCACAAAATGATTATTTATGTGCAAACGTATGTTTGTAATCTTCTATTATACTATTGTATACTACTATTCTATTGTACGTAGGTAAGTCAACCAGTAAGTTATAACTGGATATAGAACTTAAACAAATAAGAGGACTGATTTGAAAAATGCTTTTATTTCTCAACATAATCTCCCTGTACAATGAGGCACTTGTACTAAACTTGCGAATCATGTTAGCTCAGTCGCTATAGTGACGGTCTGCGACCTGGATGGCCGAGGAAATTGGATGCGACTCCCGACATGGACAGAAAATTTTTCGCTTCTCCAGTTTCCACATCGGCTATGAGGTCAACTAGCCTCCTATGCACTGGGTACTGGGGTTTCTTTCCTTGGAATAAAGGGGCCGGCACGTGAAGCCGACCACTCAACTTTCATTTAGGGCTAAGGAATCATATCCTTACTCTCCTATGTGTCTTGGTGCTTAATTCGTTAAGTACACAGGAAACTTTATTTTCTATTATGCTGACAAACTTACCGCCATCTTTGAGCCGATTGTCTAGATAATGTGGGACTCTCAACGTGCCTTCACGGCCTGGGACAGGGATAGCTTTACTTTTTTACTTACTAAATTTAACATTTCTAAGTGTAACGATTCATAAAACTTATGACCTCCATGTTATTTTCTGTTTTGTGCTGCAATTGTAAAACAAATTTCAAATCTGCAGACATCTCTCAACATGCATTTTGGTGGAGCCCTCTGGTTTTGTTGAAGGCACGGAATTAAAAAGAAAAGTGACGTGGTAGAGATCTATAATCGAATTTTATGCTATGTAAACTTTTAGTTTAAGCGTCAAGGGTGGGCACGAGATATCGGACATATTCTAAAATCATGTTTTCTGTTTAGGAAACCGGCCTAATAAATATGTGTTGCGTCGAGTTAAAATTCGAACTATTGCAGCACAGTTGAAGAGTGCACCCCGGAAACTAACCACAAAGAATGAGAGTTAGTGTCAGCTGAACTGGAGCCAAAAATAGTTTCGAACTCTGCCAAAAGTTTCTTTGGACTTATCTCGACGTTATGGATCTCTGGATCTGGGCTATTGTTTCATTAAAAAATCAATGTATGAAATTACTGACTGAAAATATGCAAGTATGAAGATGTAGAAAATGAAGTCTACTGGCTCTCATCAATTTTGTCTGGAAATAAGACTTACGTAAAGTGTACCGAATGTAAAATTCGTGGTTCGTTTTTCTCTATGAAGTTTGTTCCAAATATTTTCCGGTCTCTGAATAGTTAGGGAGTTTCGTGCAAGCAAAACACCTGTAGTTCTTTAAGTACAGGGTCCTTTGCATAGCTTTGCAAGCCAGCTTATGAATCTTTTGTGGTAATATTGGGAATGAATCGTTTGACATCGTGTGTCGCCCAAATATTCAACATAACTGTTCAAGCGCTTTCTTAATATATTTTGAAGGTTCCGCTTGAAATGGAAGTTTTTTCTTTTATCAGTGTTGCCCGAGAACATGTTTCTTTTGGTATTGCAGCCGACAGCCGTCTAATGAAGACACGACTGTCACTTGAGATGATACCTTTGCCTGGGGATACTGGGGTTTCGGATACTGGAAGGGGAACACACTTCGGGGTTTATGAATTACGGGGTCTCCAGAACCAACACCGTGTATTTCCGTTTTAAGTTAAAATTGCGTACAGTGATTGTCAATCTTTACATTAGTCCTCCTTCAAGCTCGCCTCTCACTGATCTCTCCTGTCGGCATCACTACTTCTATTCACACCAATTCGCTCCCAGCTCGCTGGCCCTACACACAACTCGCTACCTCCTACTTTAACTCACTTCTCTGTTCTCTGTCTAAACTTCAACTGCCTTTTCACTCACCTTCAGGCAGCTCCTAGCCACAAGTCCCTATGTGGTCATTAATGGAACAAGAGACAGCCAAGGGTCATGCTAGGCACCAGTACCACATTTGTTTGCCGATATGTTTATATTAAACCATCTCAGGTCTCCAAGGTACACTGGTAGGCAATTCAAGACTCCTTCTGGCAGGTCTCGTACAATGTCAAATCATGGATTTATCACTCAAAATACCTGCCCATCTCGACGGAAGATAACACTAGGAGCAAACTGGCGACGTTAATGACAACAGTGGTACCATAAGCCTAAGGAGGACTATGCTGAATTACAACTTGAAGGTCATGGGATGGTACCTCGCCGGAGGGGCTGCTTTCAGCGTGTGAAAACATGCATAAACTGGTCATAACTACAATTAAATAATTTTAGCGAACAAGTTCGATTACAGTATATACATATATAATCAATTAATAATGTAACCCATTAATCAATGGATATTAAAGAGGTTTAAGGGCCGGGATAACACAGTCGGTATTGCGACTGGCTACGGGCTGGACAGTCGAGGGGTCGTAGTTCGAGTCCCGGTGGGGGCAGGATTTTTCTCCTCTCCTTTTCGTCCAGAACGGCTGTGGAGCCTATCCAGAATCCTATCCAACATATGCAGCGGGGGCGCTTTCCCTGGGATAAAGAGGCAGGGTCATGAAGCTGATCACTAACCTCCGACTACTTCCGAGCTCAAGAATATGTGAATTTATGTATTCACTCCCCATACGTCTTCATGGCGTAGTGCTTAATTAATCAAGCCCAGGGAGAATTTATCTTTTTAAATTTATTGAATATATGTGATGAGAAAGTGTGGATTGGATTCATCTGGCTCGAGATGGGGTCCAGTGTTTGGTCCTTGCAGACACGGTTATAAACTTTCGGGATCCATAGAAATCATGGATTTTCTGAAAAAGGAGTTCGGCTATTGGTTTTTCCGGAAGTACTCTGCTCTATATACTTAACTTGTACTGACACCTCGAGAATAGGCTTTCCGATATGAATTCAGTTTATCGTGTTCGAATTACACGTAGTTATTAAGAGCCTAATATTATATTTATGTCTTCGAGTGTGTATTGAGTCTGCATGAAGCAGTGTTTAGCTGGTGCGGGAAAGTGATAGCTATTTAAGAATTCTTGAAGTTCAGAACAATTCTCTCAAGGTTGTCACTTGCGTGGTCATTTCAAAATATTCTCCCGAGTAGAATTAACTGCTTACCGCTGATCGAGAGGGGCACCAAAAATAAATATGAGGTAAAATGTGTGAAATGGTGTAATGATATTATTAATTGTATTGATTATCAACGCTTTAAAGGACTGTATCGTTCTTGGAAATGAACTGCTGTTTTTTGTTGCTTATTTTACGTCGAATATTTCTAGTTCTGTGGAGGTACAGTCTTATTAGAATCGAAGCGTGATTTTCTGACATCCAGTTCTTCCAATCCAGAAACCGTACCTCATATAACACTGTTAAATTCGCAATTTAGAAATTTGTGAAGTTTTTATGCTGTTTTTTAAAAGAATCTTCCCTGAACTCGAGCCCATGTAGAGAAAATTCCAAGTAATTTTAATGGTAGACCTATTAATGTTGAAATGATAGCTATAAGGTTCACTGTTACAGAATATAAGCTATACATATCAAGCTCTTCTATGCACTCAAATTATAAAATATAAATACACTAATATTTACATAAAAATCAAAGCAACTACTAAATTTCTCAATTTAAATATCATGTGAACCGAGAAATTTGGAAGTACAGAGTTAGAGGGAGTAGTGATTACAGTACATACAGTTTGTGATACCATGGGATCAAGCAACCACACATCTTGTAATTTTACTCTGAAGAACAAGATTTGCAAACCCAGCATTTCCGTAAATTAGGGATCCCCCCGCATTACAACCATGACCACGAAGGTCTCTCGGAAAGATTCAAATGCCGCCACTTTATACCCGTTTCTGTGTGCTGCTTCAGTTTCAATTTTAAAAGCAAAACGAGGAAACGCAATTATATTGAAGTTATTTCTTTTCCGGCAAAGGAATGGAC